GAACTCTGGGGGAACCCTGATCCAGCGCAGGATCTGGCTCTGACCTTTGCATTGGAGGAAGAGCTGAGTCACAAACATTGCCCTGATGCATGAATGTACTGGAATTCATATCTTATCCTCTTTGGGAAACTCTCCAGGGCACCCCCCCCCCCACACACACATACTTTGTGGACTTCAGTGAATGCTTACCCCCATTATGATCGATTCCTCCTGTCATAAAAATGCCTTTTTAATGTAACACATCAGAAAAGTTTGGTTTTCAAGGATGGAATCATAAATAAGGGTGGAGTATAAGGCAGCAAGAGAGGGCAAAACACTTGATAAACAGAGGTGGGGTAAAGTCACTGCTAAGTCAAGGCTGGTAATAACTTTCTCCCAGCATGCTCCGGTGGTCCAGTGGTTTCCCTTTTGCACTTCTCCCTTTTAAGAGCAGACTACAGCATGGCCTTCACAAAACATCCACAAAAGTCCCTAGAAGTTAGACAGGAAGAAGGGCAAGACAGGCAGCATTGTCATGATTAGAGTAGGCGAGGGCAAATCAAGAACCATGGGCTCTATTCCTGACCTGTGGCTAGGGTTGCCAGGTAGTTTCACAAAAAATACTGAACATGGCGGGAAAAAAATTGGTTGAGCAAAAAAAAGCACACAAAAAAAGTAATAGCCCCTTTAAATCCACATGTTCCCCTCCTCACCAGACATGGTAGGGGAAGAATGTCCTAAGTGGCCTTCCATCTGAGAAAAACCATTTAAATATCTGGTGTTTTCTGGGTCTTTTTTCCAGACAGAAGCCTCAAATACCGGATGCCTGGCAACCCTACTGCCAGTGGCAGCCACAGAAGAGAAGCAGTTTCTGCTTTCCCGGTGGGGACACTAAGAGCTTCTCTCGGGAGCTACCAGAGGGTGTCAAATTGCAGAGGTATAAAGTATACACTAAAAGTGCTCCAGAGGTACCGTGGAGCCAATGTGGTGGTTCAGTGTAGACTCGACCTGTGCCAACAGAGGTGAGGACAGAGAGGAGGGATGCTTTTTTAGCTCAGCAATAATTTGAGTAAATGTGTGTCTGATTTTAATTTACCTTTAATTGATCTAATTTTCCTCCTTTACCCCCCCCCCCCCCCCTGCATCTGTAGCCACAAAAATGAGCCGTGGAAATCTGCATCCACATCCCTGGATGCGGATACCTGCAGATATAAAGCGGGTATCTGCAAATGTGCAGGGTTGTAGGTACAAAATTGTATCCAAATGAGTCGCGGATATAAAGCCGATACCCCCAGATACAAAGCAGATATCTGCAAATTTGCAAGGCGCTGCCATCCCACATTCTTTACCTCCTGACAATATCTTCTGCCAAGGTGGAAATGTGGGATTTGGTACGATGCCCTGGCAACATGTAATTTCCCTATTTGCTGGATAAAGGTGCCATAGGTTTTTCTTTCACCCTTACTCTTGGGGCACGGGTGCTCAACAAATGTTGGCCGCCAGGCATTGGAACTTGGGCTTGGCAAGAGAACACCCCTCTTGTGTGTAAATCAGTTAGCCTCTGAGAGTTGGCTCTCCCCTCCCCCACCTGCCCGCATTCTGGCCCTGATCCCAGGAATTCTCCCAACACCAAACGTTAAGCCTAATGTGAATTAAAAGGAAAGTGTTTCTGTAAACATCACAGCCCATGCTGTCTCCAGGCATCTTCGTGATTATCTCCATGATTTAGGCTTCTTGGGGCTTTGACATTTCCCAGATGGGAGACTTTGGTTTGTGGTTCGGCTCCAGAAGAGAGAGGCAGGGGCAGTGAAAACGCAGGGGGGGATTTGTTAACCTGTTTGTGTTATTTTATATAGAGCTGCAACCTCCCCCCCCTTCTGGTGACTGAAAGGTGTCCACATTGTAGAGAAAAGTTTGAAAGCCAAGCCTTCAGTCAGTCCCCGATGGTGGGGCTTAGACAGGTAGAGAAGCTACCCTGGGAAGATTCATATTTGAACTCAGGAAGAGTGTGGCTGAAAGATGTAACCTTGAAAAGCAAGAGGGCGATTCAGTCAGACTGACAGAGAAAGGAAAAAAAAAAGCCCTTTTCCTAAGAATACCCAGGTTTGCTTTCTGCAAGGCGGCTACTGACCTCTGCTGTTTTCTCCCCAGAAAACCTGGATCCAGTCACCAAATGGGAAAGGACAGGCATTTCTGATGAGTCAGATGAACTATGGTTATTGGCCAGGAGGTGCTGTGTGACTAGAACTGCAATTGCAGCTGCGGCCCGGAATCAGCTCTCCCTTGGAGTCACAGGCATTCTTTAGTGCCATCTTCAGGCCAAGCTTAAACACTGCCGAGATCAAAGCCCTGATTGCTGCCCTGGCAAAGGAGAAATGCGCCTCTTCGAACATCAGGAAGGGGCTGCCACAGAGCTACCAAAGAATGGATATAGGGAAAGTCCTGATCAAGCGAAGCACTTGCTTCATTTTAATCATCCGATTAGTTCCATGGAAGCCTACAGGCCCTGCTAGAACACTGGAGTCAATGGGACGACTCCCATTCAAGTTAAGCATGTGCTGATGTGCTTTGGGCTGGATGGGGGAAGGAGTGCTTAGAGGAAAACTGGGAGATAGAATTGAACCTGGGCCCTCCAAAGCTTAGGGCATGAGCTACTACTGCATGAGCCAAAACCTAGCTGGCCATTAGCTAAGACTCTAGGGATTGGAAAAGGTTCAGAAAAGGGCAACAAAAATGATTAGGGGTTTGGAACGGGTCCCATATGAAGCGAGATTAAAAAGACTTGGACTTTTCAGCTTAGAAAAGAGGAGACAAAGGGGGGATGTGATAGAGGTCTACAAAATCATGACTGATGTGGAAAAAGTGAATAAAGAAAAGTTAGTTACTTGTTCCCATAACGTAAGAACTAGGGGTCGCCAAATTAAATTAATAGGCAGCAGGTTTAAAACAAACAAAGAAAAGGAAGTCTTTCTTTACTCAGCACACAGTCAACCTGTGGAACTCCTTGCCAGAGGATGTGGTGAAAATCAGGACTTTAACAGAGTTCAAAAAAGAGCTAGATAGATTGATGGAGGTTAGGTCCATCAATGGCTATTAGCCAGGATGGGTAGGAATGGTGTCCCTAGCCTCTGCTTGTCTGGAAAATGATGACAGGAGAGGGATCATGTGATGATTACCTGTTGTGTTCCCTCCCTCTGGGGCATCTGGTATTGGTCACTGTCGGCCTACAGGATAATGGGCTCGATGGATCTTTGGTCTGACCCAGTATAGCTGTTCTTATGTTCTTAACAGGGGTGGGGAACTTTTAAGGATCTGGGACCACCGACCCACAGAAAAATCAGTTGGGGGGGCTGCACAAGGTGAGAAATCGACAACAAAACAGAACAACCCACCTTGTTGACATGGCCCCCAAGTGAGAAGCAGAAAGATGCTCCCCTCATTCCCCTTGCACATCAGAGCCTGGGGAGAAGGGGAGAGGCCCATGCTAGTAGATTGTGTGTTCTGCCACACAGTGGTATGGCAGGGGGCTGGAGCACCAGCACGGGTTCCCCAATGCTTGGGTGAGGAGCTCTAAACCTTGGGGGAGGGACTCAGGCAAGCCGGGGGTTGCATCCGGCCCTTGGGCCTTACATTCCACACCCCTGCTCTAGAGCAGGCTTGTTATTCTCTCTGTAGCTGGTCTCAGTGACACTGGCTGGGACAGTGCACCCCACCTAGAAGGAGTGTGGTTTGTGTCAGCGCCTTTCAGGGTCTGATAATGCTCTTACTCAACAAGGGTAACAATACCCCTCCTCCCCCAAGACAGTAACCTGAGCCTTCTGGGGATGTTTCAAAATGAATTAATAAAAAAAAGCAAAAAAGGCCATGGCCCAAGTTCTCTTGTCAGCTTCCCCATAAGCAATGGGCCAGGATGGGTGTCTAAACAGAATTCAGCCCTGGGCCTATTCAGAGTTAGCACAACATTCCTGTGTTATCACAGGAAGCTCAGCAAGTCTAGTTTACTCTGAACTGCGGCTGAGCATGGTGATCTCAGTGTCCTGTCCGACTGGGAAGCAAGCTAGTACAGGTAGCAGTCAATAGAGGGGTCAGTCTGATTCAGAGGTCCTAGGCTAACTTATTCTAGAAAAATAACTGTAGCATTTGTCTATGGCTGCAAGGCTCCGTTGTCCATGGTCTGTGATATGCTCCCAGTGAGGGGATATTTTACCCTGCAGAAAGTTTCGCAAACTCTTTTGCCTTGTTGGTTCCCACACAGCAGAATTTAAAAAGAAACAGAAATCGATGCTGCACACAATGTTCTGGCTGCGTCACACAGGGCTTGTGCCATTTCCTAAGCTAGCTGCCAATTGGGCTACGTTGTACTACATGACAGGGGGTTAGATGTGGGATAGCTGCCTGAAAAAATGTGGGCCCCAATCCTGTGAACACACCCAGGCTGGACTTCATTTCACTCAGACTACGTCTGGGCTTTTATTTAAGCATGTGCATAAGTGTTGCAGGATACATTGTCCTCATCATTTGCACCGCAGTAGCATTTAAGTCAGGGGTGGGGGAACCTTTTTTGGGTTGGGGGCTGCTGACCCACAGAAAAATCAGTCAGGTGCTGCACACAAGTGAGAGGCAAAAAAGAAAACCAAACCCACGCTGATGTTGCCCCTGACTGAGAAGGAGAAAGACACCCATTCACCTTGCAAACCACAGCCTGGGCGGCCCAGGTTAGTAGATTTTGTGTGTTCCAGTCCCACAGTGGAATGGCAGAGGGGTTGGAGTGACAGCGTGGGCTTCCCAATGGGGCCCACATCCAGGCAAGCTGGGGGCTGCAGCCAGTCCCCGGCTCTTAGGTTCCCTACCCCGGATTTAGGTATTCCAGTCTCAGATGAGAGCCAGGTGCTGAACAAACTCAAAAAGCCTCCATCTCGTAGTGTAGACATGGCCCGAGAATTCACAACTGAAGCAGGGACCATTTGAACTTTTGCTTGCAGGCCTCTCTTCGGGTCTCTGCTGGGTCTGATTTTAAGGATTCAAGCCCCAAAAGCTGGTGGCTTCCTCGGATGCCACCAGGCACACAAGCTTAACACACAGGTGCAGCAGCATCCCGAGAGTTGTTTCAGATGGAAGAAGAGCCTGGTGTCGCTGCTATCCGACTGCTGAAAGCAATTGGCAGAGGGGAAGCTGTAGCCCTGGCAGGATGGCCCCTGCCAATTCAGATCACAGATGTCCATTTGCCCCGGCAGCCTCTTGTGGCAGCACTGGTGGTACAGACATTGCTGGTCCTGGGAGCTGTTTTCAGTTTGGATCCAGCATAAGTGACTGACAGTGAGAACGGCCTGGCTGTGTTTGCCTTCCGCACACATCTGGAGCAGGCACTGCCCCTCTCCTGCAATCTGTTGCGCGTGTTCTTCTTCCTCCCAGGATTTTTTCAAAGACTGAGCTTTGTACAGCTGATTTACAGCAATTTTGAAAGCAGGAGAGAGCCTAAAGAAGCTACCAATTATGTTGATGAAGAGCCTGGCAGTAAATAGTGTCTTTTCTCCCCCTAAAAAGAAAAAGAGAGAATTCAGCATCTTACCAACTTCAAAGCTAATAACAGAAGTGAAGTGGGGCTCTGACCTTTAACAGGCTGCCTGTTAGGGTGGATTATATCATGTCAGCAGCCATCTGCAATATAAACGATACCTGGCTTTGATGAGGCCCTTATAGACCATTAAAGGGATAGAAATACTATAGGGATTTTGGTGAAAAATGAAACCATACAAATACCAAGGCATTAGCTGCACAGCACATGGTAACAGAATCAGGCCAGACCTTGGCTGAGTTTCAGACCACATTTGTGGATAGATGCTCACTGAGCATGAACATAGGTGAAGGGAAACTTTGCCAGGTAAAAATGAGCCATGTAAGCGCTCGTGTATAAATGCTACCAGGATGTTCGTCTAAAGTGCAGGCTTCCACCAGCATGTTTGTTTGCCTGGGCAGTGCAGACCACAGACTCAAGAGAGTGAGATCGTCCCCAGTGCGAGGTTCTGGAGTTGTGTCAAGAATGGCAAATTGGTCACCATTCCCATTCCACGTCATCGTTTTCAGTGCCCGTGTGAGCAGCTGGAGGATGGGTTAAGTGGGTACACGTGCAAGGCACAGTTTTTGGGCCCCCATGGAAAATGTGCATAATATAGTCTACTGCAGGGGTGGGAACCCTGTGGCCTGTAGGCTGCATGCGGGTTCTGTGTGTGACCCACGAGACATTTTGTTTGCCATGGGTTGCCAGATTCAGCTGATTCCGTCTGTCTTTTTTTTTTTTCTTCTGGTATTACTAAATGACATGCACAAAGGCTGTGTCCAGACTCAGGGTTTTTTTCCGAAAAAGTCGCCTTTTTTCGAAAAAACTTCACCTGCGTCTAGACTGCAGCCGCGTTCTTTCGAAATTAAATCGAAAGAACGCGGCTTTTCTTTCGACGGCTGTCAACCTCATTTCATGAGGAAGAACGCCTTTTTTAGAAAGTGCTCTTTCGAAAAAAGGCGTTCTTGCATGCCAACAGGGCTTTTTAGAAAGAGAGCATCCAGACTCACTCGCTGCTTTCTTTCAAAAAAGCGGCTTGCTTTTTCAAAAGTACTGCTTGCAGTCTAGATGCTCTTTTTCGAAAGAGGCTTTTTCGAAAGATACTTTCAAAAAAGCCTCTTTCGAAAGAGGCTTGCAGTCTAGACATAGCCAAAGCAAGGGCACATGAGGTGCCTGCTGATTGCATACAACACTGGCTGCAAGAGTTGGGTGCTCCCTCTGCGTCCAATCAAACCACTGCTGTGGTTCAACTGGCACATCCCACAAATACTAGGCACGCAAGCACTGTGAGCAAAACCACCCTGTCCCGAGAGACTGTCTTGGTTATGACAATCCAGTGGGAGAGCTCTAGGTTGGATATTAGGAAAAACTATTTCACTAGGAGGATGGTGAAGCACTGGAATGGGTCACCTAGGGAGGGGGTGGAATCTTCATCCCTAGAGGTTTTTAAGTCTCCACTTGACAAAGTCCTGGCCGGGTTGATTTAGTTGGGATTGGTCCTGCCTTGGGCAGGGGACTGGAGGAGGCTATCAAAGCTAGTGTTCTCCTAGGCTTCAGACTTCCCTGGGTTTTGCCATCATTGAGGACTGGGGAGCGGTACAGTCTGAAAACTGCCAAGCTAAATATAGCACTAGCTACTTCCAGTAACATATTATTCTAAGTATCCAATAATTAAAACTAAAGGAAAGCGGGATGTCTGTGAAGAGGACATGCAATCCCCACCATGAATACAAAATGAAGCCATTATGTTCAGTGGCAATAGAGTGAATGCCAGGTGAATTCAGAATGACAATGAGCCAGACCTCTGACCTCTGAGTAGAAGCAGATGCTGCAGAAAAGACACATGCAAAAAATGCTTGTAGGAAAGTGTCCTCATGGAGTATCCAACTCCAGTGTTATTAAAGGGGAATGAAAGGGAAAATTCAGCTGAGATTGTAATTATGTGAAATATTAGGTGAAAGTTCCTGTGGGTGAGTCCCAATGAACACCACAAATTGAGCCTCACCCCTTTCAGTTCACACTTTTCCCCACTTGTATAGTATGATGCTCTCACATTGATTCGTTTCAGCTGTTTAATGTCTATTTTTTTCTAAATAACTCTTGGGCCACAGATTGTGCAGGTTTGAGGTTCAAAAACTGGTGGGTTTTGGTTGGACACGTCGCTCACAAAGGGTTTCTTCCGTTCGTTGGCTGCATGAGCATAATTCTTAGCATCAGATGTCGAATATTTAACTAGATAGAAAGTACCATAGTGGATCAGACCAGTCAGCCATTGAAATCCCGTCTCTGACAATGGCCAGTAAAAGATGCTTCCGAGGAAAGTCCGTCAGTGGACAATAACGGCATAATCATTCCAAGAGGAAAGTTTCTTCCGGCCTTCCATTAGAGTTAAGCTGATGCCCTGAGGTATGTGGGTTTATATCCCTCCTTTCATTTCACTATCTAATTTATCCATGTAAAATTCCCCCTTGCATTGAGATGTTCTAATGGTCATTGTGGCCATGAACATTTCTGTTGTTTTTTGTGTTATACGTAGACGATGAGCATTTCGGGGCAGGAGCTGGCTTTTTGTTCTGTGTTTGCCCGCGTCTGTGACAGACTTGTCGGGCCTCTGGGCAAGATGCTGGGGGAAAGGGGAGAACAGCTGTGTGCTTTTGGAAGGGGTGAAGCCTCAGGCGGAAGGGGCTAGACTGGGCCGTCAGCCCTCCGTGCCACCTGGAGTGGAAGCATGGGACTCGGGAAGTGATTTAAAGGGCCCAGAGCTCTGACTGCTGTCGCTGCAGTGACGGCAGCAGCTGGGAGCCTCCTGCCCTTTGGAATCACCAGGCCCTGGGACAGCTGCCCCCAGCTCCCCTCCCCGCTGGCAGGCCTGACTGCATCTAGCACACTGGGGTCCTACTCCATGATTTCAAGGCATCTCCATCACTGGAGATCTTTAAGAGCAGGTCAGACAAACACCTGCCAGGGATGGTCTATCATGGATTCCCAAACTGGGGGGCGTGCCCCCCTGGGGGGCATGAAGAAATTCTGGGGGGGAGGTGGCGCGAGGCGACCCAACCCCGTCCTCCCCCTGTGTCAATTCCACCTCAAGTTCTGCTATTTTTTGTTTTCGGCCATGGTCAGTTCCTCTTTTTTTTTTTTTGCTATTTTGGGGGGTAGATGTGTGAAGATTTCTTCCATCGAATATGTTCTTAGCAAGAGCTCGGTAAATTCTCTGCAAATCATTTATTTTGCACAAGGTGACTGCTTGAGGTCCCTTCCAGTCCCATGGGTCTATGACAAGAGCTATGATAATACAAATAATAAATCATTTGACTAGAGAGAGAGAGCACACCTGCCACTCCTATGCTGTAAAGCCAGGTATCCCCCACAGGACCTCTGGGCATTTATTAGCACAAAGCGCCTCAGAGGCTGAGTTTTGATGCCTCGACGTTTCCTTGGCAATACATTGTGAGGTCATGGCGATTATGGTTTAGTGCTAGCCCTGAGCAAGGGGTGAACTGCACCACCCCGGGACTGGCCCTGAGACACCCCCTCCAAGGCACGGTTCCCTCCTTGCTGCTCCCTTGTAATTTGCCTGATGTCAGCAGCTAATCATGATGCCCTCCCGTGCTGGTTTAGCCGTGCAGGCTGGTGTTTGGAACCCAGCTTTCCCCCAGTGCCTACCTCTCCCTATCCATCTGCTCAGGGTTTTGGGGTGGGGAGGAGGAGTTGTGTTGTGACTCCAACACACCAGATCCCCCTGTGTCATGAAATGGTACGACTCTGCTGACGACAGTCAATTAAGATTTACTCTCTGGCCCATAGACCAGGCAGCCCTTGTGGTACTGTGAGGGGTGAGTTTCACTCTCCCCTACTCCTCTGGTCTAAGAATATCATCCAAGTCACAATCTCATCCTATTCTGCAGCTCGGCCTAGAGGCCTCACCCTGAGGCTCTCACGGTGCCAGGTGCTTCTCAGAAAGATGAGCAGATGCAGCCTCTGCACAGGGAATTTATAATCTCAGGCCATTGGAGTCGGAACAGCCGCAGTGCAGGAAGGGGGGCTGGCTCATCCTGGAGAAAAAGCTCCTTCAGAAACACATCTCTCCAGCAAGAGCCGGGGACGGAGGAAATTGGCAGCAAAGTATTTTCACGGGAGGCTGGTGGCATCAAAGAGAGGGAGTGAAATGGTCGTGTCCAGGTGCCCTCAGTTTATGATGTGCCGGATTCAAAGCAGGAGAGGCCTGGCCAGGCCTGGGGAGTCTCCAAGCAGTAAATTGCTTTCTGGGTAAATGCTCTCTCGTTTCCAGCGTGTCCTGCCAATGCCTCCTTGACTGAAAGCCTGACACGCATCGAGCGAGCCGATGTGTTTGTCATTTGCAGTGGAGCCCTTCAGTCTCCAGGGCTGTCAATTTAACTCAGCAGTGGGCAATAATTTTTTATGGGGGGGGGCACTCCAAGATTTCGGCCAGTGATTGAGGGTTGCACTTTTCTATGGAAGGGTTGTGGGGTCTGGGATGGAGGTTGGATGCAGAAAGAAGCTCGGGGTAGGGGACTTTCTGGGCTGCAGAAAAGGGTGTGGGTCTGAGAGGGAGTTGGAGTGAAGGAGGGGGTTGTGATATGGGGCAGGGGATTAGGGTACAGGGGCTGGTAGGGGGTATGGGCGCAGGAGATGATTCTGGCCTGGGGAAGGGTTGTAGAAGGGGGTGTAAGGTCTGGGAGAGGGAGTTGTGACCTGGGGTGTGGGGGAGGAGGGTGCAGAGTGTTTGGGTTGTGACCTACGGCAGGGGATTGGGGTGCAGAGTACAGGAGGGGGCATGGGTGCCGGAGAGGATTCTGACATCAGGGAGGGGATATAGTAGGGGGTGCAGAGTCTGGAAGGGAGCTGGGTGGGGGGAACAGCTGGGGCGTCAGAGAGAGGCTCTGACTGGGAGGTGTTTACCTAAGTAGCTCCCGGCCAGCAGCCCCAGACGGCTGGCTGGCTGTGCATGTGGGGCT